AACTTAAATCATTCAACTTATTTATAACATCCTTTCTAGATTTTGCAAATGAGATTTCAGATTTATAAGTCAAACGATCCAAGAAAGTATTTCAGTATTTTTTTTTTTTTTTTGGGAAGGGAGCTCAGAACCTCGCATTGTTCTCTCGAAAAATAATATCTACGGCGTACACGATTCTTATATTCCTAAGATTGTGCATTATTTCAAGCATGAGGTTAATTCAACTTTAACCCAAGAAAGTATTCTTGCAACAGCTCACTAAAAAAATCCTTTGCCGATATCTCAATTGCTTCATTTAGCTTAACGTTAACGTTAACTTTACCAGGAGCTTTGACAACACCTTTAAAGCTCCATGCAGACGTCGAAAATTCGTGTTGTACAACCTGCTCTTTAATTGTTCCACAGGTAGTTAATCTTCGAGTTCATGGACCATGCAAAAGATGTTAAGATACCGACGCAGTCTTAAAATATTCAAGTCACAAAATCAATCACATGAAACATTGAAGATAGCTTTTTATCGACCGAGTGAGGTTTTGTTCAGTTGCCAGAAACTATTCATTTGAGGTTTCAACAACTCAAGTTTGGGACAATACCTCTAAAATAAATTGTTTTTTTTTTTACTTTAGCTTCCCTATTAAACTACTCCATGCTAGCATTACGTAGAGGCGGTTGCATAACTCGAATAAACATTTCGCAAAGCACAAAGCTTTTTTAACGATTCTTTGTCGGTTTTTCGTCTGAGCCGATTGTGTAGAGTGAGCATGAATTCAAGATAGCGAATTTCGTTATTCATGTTCAGTGTCTTGCATGTTTACATGTGGGTTGCGATTCAGCTCTAAACAACACTCCACATTAATGTCTACACTTTTTTTGTATTCAACCACTTTTACGGAAGGGAGCAAGACACTCTAAAGTCACTATGTCGTTTCTTTAGCTGTGCAATTTGGGGTCCCAGCCATTAGTTTGCGTTCTTTACTGCAGTTATGGTGCCCATTCAGATATTAATGATCTACTCTTTTTTTTTTTTTTTTTTTTCATAACTGAAATAAATGTTTTTTATCCTTTTTTTCAAGTTAAGGTAAACATCGAAGACTTCAAATCGGTATCGATCGCTTGCTTGTGGTTCTTTTGGTCTCTTTTATTTCCTTTTCATCAAACTAATTTCGCCACACGTAAATCCTTAACTGAATACCTTTTCTCACTTCCAAGCACTGCCATTCATCAAAAAACCATAATCTCTTGAACAAACTAAATTTTACAATGTTACTTCATTAAGACAAGCGACAGGAAATGATGGCCGGGAAAATCATAAGTTGAGGTGTAAAAAAATACAAAAACATAGGATAAATAAAGTATTCTTTCGTTATTACTATCATTTCTTTCTTGAAGCAAATAATTGCACAGATTTGTATTTCCTATAAACTAAATCTTTCCAGGTCATTTACATTACATTTACATTTTTGTACATTTTTACATTTATATAGCGCAGACTTCTATGTGGATATATTCTGTCGCGCTTAACAGAATATATCCGCGTAAGGCTGAGATCGGACGTCAGCATTTTATCAGGCGCCTCTGGCAGCCGCTTCAGTCCATGTAGCGATCTCACCTTCCCACCCATCCCACCCTGGGGAGGACGTCCACTACACAGTAATCTCGTGCATGGGAAATTTATGTCTCCTACCCCTAACCCTGCAGGAGACGAGATCTATGGCTTTACGTTTTATCTGAGAAGACGAAGCAATGTGAGTGAAGCGTCTTGTTTAAGGACACAACGTCATCCCCCATCCAGGACTTGAACCCGGGCCAACTGACCCAGAGTCCACTCCACTGACCACTGGACTACTCACGGGACTTACCCCTTCTAGTGAAATTAAGTTATTTTAATGTTTTCCTAGCCTCTTCAATGATTATTCCCTTCATCTTCAGAGCAAAACTTATTCAAGGTTTGAGATTGACATAACCAGTAGTAATGGGCGCCTGACTTAACCTAAGAATCTCAGCATTTAAGGAAAAACAGTTGTAAAAACATTTTCGCTACAGTTGTTTAAATCTAACACAAATGAAACGGTCTTTTAAGTGCGTTCTATAATCTGCGCATTTTGAAATCACGTATACAATGTTTTATAACTCCTAATACTTGTCGCTTTAAAACCAAAGCCGAAAGCCTTTTATCAGTACCCTTCAAGGGTGAAAACTTGAAAGCATTTCTTTCCACTCACAAAGCGTTTCGGAAAGGGGCAAAGAAAGGCTCTCTTTGTAGGAGACCGTCATATTTAGTACACTTAGTAAATCTTTTATTCCACAAATGGAATTTCATTTTTGCAAGAGGTGTCTCATTATCATCCATTATCTATCAACGCCAGCGATGATTGCTCGCTCATTTGAGCTTGAACGTACCCTCTCCACTCTTGTTCATTGTTTTTCTAGTTGTCCGCTGTTTTCCAAAAGTGCAGATTGGATTGTGATTCAGCGCTATTCAGTAAAGCCTCCACCTTTTTTGTCTTCAGTCACTTTACAGACGAGTGCAAAACATTTACATTCGGCGTAACAATAGCTCTAGATCTGCGGTTTGAAGTTCCATTAGTTTTTGTGCCCTATGTGGCTATAAAGTTAATTGCCTCCACACAAAAAATCGACTCTTCGTGCCTGTTTATAGAACACCAAGTACTTGTAATTGTTAACGTCATCTGTGTAATGGCCAAGCTAATTGCTTCCAAGGCTGACTTATAAAAGCTATTATAACATAACCAAAGTAAAGCGCGCGCTCTGATTGGTCAATTTAGCGTCTCCCATTTGCCCATGGGTGTACGCTGCTGACGTGAGCAAATGCAAAGACTATTTTCCGCCCCCGCTTGTTTTTTCTGGTCACGTAAGATTTGTTAAATAAAAGGGAACTCTTTAGCTACAATGTATCAATGTTATGTTATAAAACAAATGGTAAACACCACAGCGTACACTATTGAGTTATGGATGCACGCGGGAGGTTGCTAAGCACGAAAGAAGCGTAAGAGTCGCTCGAGGCGATAGCCGAGAGNCCCCGCTTGTTTTTTCTGGTCACGTAAGATTTGTTAAATAAAAGGGAACTCTTTAGCTACAATGTATCAATGTTATGTTATAAAACAAATGGTAAACACCACAGCGTACACTATTGAGTTATGGATGCACGCGGGAGGTTGCTAAGCACTCAAGAAGCTATAGTCACTCTCGGCTATCGCCTCGAGCGACTCTTACGCTTCTTTCGTGCTTAGCAACCTCCCGCGTGCATCCATAACTCAATAGTGTACGCTGTGGTGTTTACCATTTGTTAATTTCGAAGAGGCTTTCGTTCAAGAATCATAGCGGGAATTTGAATATTTCAGTGGAGTTTTAAACATGTGTCAATTGCATGATAAGCCCAATAAACTACACCCTGTTGAAGTCCTAACTGTAATAAAGTCCTAAATGTAATAAAGTCTTAAGTGTAATAACATTTGGTCCTAAATGTAAATAAGTCTTAAATGTAATAACATTTGGTCCTAAATGTAATAAAGTCCTAAATGTAATAACATTTGGTCCAAGATGTAATAAGCCTCCGATGCAAAATATTAACTGCGCTTGTGCATCCACATTGAGATGTTAAAGAGACAACTGTTACATCAGAGAATCTTCTGCCAAAATTCATGGCGCATTGCGGGCTCGCTCGCCGATTTTAATCAGCGTCTTTTTTTTGCTAGACGTAGGCCGAGAAGCATTGGCTACAAACCTTCATACTGATGTGCTTTTGGCATCAAATTGACAGATCTCAAAACAATAGAACGCTGACCAATCCGGCCATCTTGACCGAAGAGGCTTGGTCAAGAGATTTTATATTTTCGTCAAGTAATTTTTCACGGAAAAAATGCGTTTTCTTTTCATTTATCACGGATAACAGGAAATAGTTTCTTTAATTCACGTATCACGACTGGCATATCGTTCACAGTTCACGGCTTTTAACTTTTTACAATCACAAGTCCCGTCCGATGACGTTTTTTATCACGATAAAAACAGCCGATCACGTTTCACAGAAAACCCGTTTATTAACGAAATCCTTTTGTTGACAAAACTCGTTTATTGACAACAGATAAAGGCGTATTCTTTGCATTTTCTTCTCAATGTATAGGACATTGTGTTAGCGTCTTCCAAAATATGCCACACGCTGTGGTGGGCATCATGTTGGAAGAAGTCGAAAGTGATGACTCAGCAATATTGGCAGTTGAAGGCTTTTGAAAATTCCCGCAGTATATATACCTTTCTCAGTCTTAAAACTCACGAAATGGTTTTCAATGCAACCCTTTTCTTCTATTTTACCTTAGACTTTGAGAGATATTTCTTTTACTGTGTGAAAAGGTTCGAAAACGTTTTTGTTTTCGGCGATGAGCGGTAGTCTCGGTATTTGGTTAAGATATTCTCTTTCTCTTTTCTGTTGTGACTGTTTTAAAAAGCGCATAACTCAGTCAGGTCCATCTGACTAACAAGGGACATCGCCGGATCAGAAACCGACAACATGTCGCGATCGTTCTTGTCCTGTCAAGTAAGATGCAGTTTGCATAGCGAACATTTATAACAGATATAGTGGTTAGTCTTGTTATATACCTACCTTGAAATTCAAGTTTCTTGACGGCACACAATGAGGCTGAATAGCGTAATGACTTGTAAGTAATGATTTATATCGATTATATCACGAAATTTATCCTAAAACTTGCTCTCAGTGTAAGGAAGGCGACTGAAGTTATGCTCTGACCGAGTCTTTTTATTGTTTTTGAGAAAGAGAAAACATAGCGTGATGTGCCTTAGAAAGGGAAATTTCTTTTTTTACAACTGAAATTTCTTTAGTGAGTAATTTCTTCTGATTTATACCTTACTCTGGGATATGTCGAGACCATTACGAGATGTGAATTTCACAATAAACCTTACGCAAGGAGAGAAGTTAATTGTTTCATTTCATCACATATTTCATGGTCATTCGATCAAAAACTTACGCATCCCCCTAATCAACATTGCTCATCCTTTCCTGATAAAACGGCTGTAAAGATGCGCTGAATTCTCATCAGAATCATTTTTTTGTACGTCAAAACAACTTTCCGCTATATATTTCTTTGTAACAACTTGCAATGTTTGTCCCACGACGATCTCAGAACCCTTTGCGCATAACAGAGGGATCCAGTTATTTGGCGACTCATTCATTACCACCGGATACTCTGAATCAAGACCTTGAGAACAAACAGACAAATTCAAAGAAAAAATTATTTTAAAATCTTTCAATCTCAGCGTAGATTTAATAATGAGCTATTTGCAAACCAAAAATTTATTCAAAAAGTAAAAAACCTTTCGATCTTAGCATAGATTTAATAATGAGCTATTTACAAACCAAAAATTTTTTTAAAAGTAAAAACGAAATGTTTTCGACACTAGGTCATCATCAGGGTAAATAAGCAGCTTCCGCTAAATTACATATTTTATATCCTTAGGTAATTCCCGATGGGACGAGTTGAAACTACGCTTCAAATGATTAATCAGTATCATTAATATATACATTTAGCCAAGCCTAAAATCAGAGTTTCAAATAGTTTATCTTCCAGCCTTCATTTTATTAAAAATCCTTGGCGCTACCTGTGGAAGAGGTTATTCGAGGAAATTTAGGGCCAGTTCGAGCAGGGGAGGGGGAAGGGGGAAATTGGTGGGGTCTGGAGCCTTGGGACGATGTTCTCACAACTTGCAAAACGTTCAACACGCATCTTAGTCAGCGAAGTTTTCAAGCAGCTGAAGAACGTCCTCGATGTTCCTGAATTTTTTGAACGGATATTTTGGAGGATAGGGAATGTATTCTTCTTCAGATATAGTGTATGAAGTCAGTATCCGTTGAAATTATATT